AGGAAAAAATTTGTTTTTTTTTTTTTTTTTTGTGAAATATTTTCATGATTTGTTTTGAGATTCGAAATCAAGGACTTGAGTAATGGCTTTATTTGATCAATTTGAATCTTTTCTTGATTTAGGGTTAAAGTAGCGTTTTGAAAAGATATTTTATTAGTCTATACTTTTGATTTCAACTTTTTAATCTCTTAATTACAAAAGTAGAAAAATACATCATCTATATCACAGTTGATTATGTCTCGTCTATAAATGAGCAGAGCTTGAACGAGACTTGTTCTTGTTCGACTCGTTCAACTTTTCTTCTGCTATCATTTAGCTCATGTTCGAAATAAGTCAACAATAACAAGTTCATGTTGGGCTCCAATTTGATCGAATTGGCTCGTGTTTGGCTAGAGTAGAGCTAAGTTAGAGCCAAGGGTATTTCAAGATTTCATGGAAGTTAGCATCATTTCTGTATTTAAACATCATTGGGAAAAGCAATTTTCTTAAACTTCCAATGTGGGACAAGCGGGGATTTTCTTTTCAAAATTGCTAAGCGCATCAACCAAACATACTATCCAACTTTTATGCATTTGCATAGGAATATAGAAAAATTGATCCGACGCGTCAACTCCGGATTCGGGTTTTGATTAGGATTCTTAACCCATTTAATTTTTAAGGTCAACTTCAAGTTGACTCGACAAGCCAATAATGGCCCCAAACTCCCCTGTAAACTTGAATTTACTCAATTTCGACCAACCGTCTGAAATTGCCCCAAGATTGGCTTTAAGTTGACCCGATTTTGACTCAATTTAGATCCAAAAATTTTTTCACGTATATTAAACGAATTAAATTGGTCGGGTTCGCATTACTCGTGTCTAGGTCGAGTTAAGTTTGAGTAGAGATTTTCAACCCATGTAATATACGAGTTAAATTCGGGTTGAAGCTATTCGAGTCTGGTTCGAGATGAACCTATCCGGTCTATTCTGTTTTGAGTCGGACCCAAACTCGACCTCGAGACTCGAATTGACACCCCTATATTTACATATCTAACCCCTAAATTAGATAAGTGGGGTCTACGTGCTCTATTTTAGCGACATTGACAAACATACCACCATGATATTATTTATTTACATATCTAACATTTAAACTTGTATTTTTTTTTATAATTATACGACCAAATTAATTTTAAAAATAATAAATATGAGTAATTATTGATACATATAATAAAATTAAAATAAGAAGATATAAATAAACATTATTATTTAATTATCTCAAGCCAAAACAAGTCTAACACAAAAAACAATTCCCGTTCGCGTCGAGCTAATGAAAATTGTTTGTTTCCGGCTCGCAGCTCAATGAACGAATCGAACATCAGTTGTTCGTGAACGACGAGTACTTTTGACAGCCCCAACTATGCTCATCCATTTTCTTGAGTTTACTAAAATCCCAAACCTAAATTAAATGGACAAATTATACAATTTCACAAATCATAATCTGATCATGCTGTATTGATTGATTTTTTCCCTTTATATTTTGTCTTCATGGTTTTTATCTTGCTTAAGAAGTAGTACTAAACCAAAACAATCCTCAGCTTTTCCTTCAAAGCAAAATAAAAAATAAAAATAAATCTTTAACATTCAATAGTTGGAGGAAAAGACAATGGCTTAATAATGACAATTATAAAGGAGGATTCTGCCAGCCATATCTTTTCACATTCTCTTTGCAGTTTATATATAATATAAGTTAGATTTTGTGGGAAAGAATTTATTCACCGTCTAATTATGATAAAATATTGACCAGGTTTGTATGACAGAATAAATAAAGTTCATTTGATCGAAATGAATCACGAGCTAATTTTCCTCAGCAGAAGAACTAGTGTCGATCAATATAGTAGATAGATAGATAGATAGATATATTAGAAGAGTTGCTGATGACCTCAAGCTTTTGGGTGACCGAAAGGTGGGGTTGTTTGATGGAATACACATCATGATTCATCTAGCTAAGGAGGAGAATTATGCAAAAATTTTCTCCAAGAAAAACTCTACTCATTGATGGTCAACAAATGAAACTCCTGAAGTGGTCAACTGCTTTTGACCCCAACCAAGGGACTCCAATTATTCCAATCTGGTTTAAGCTTCCTGGTCTTAAATTGCATTTCTTCCATCATCAGATGCTATTCTTGATTGGTGCTTTACTTGGTAGACCAATGAAGCTTGATGTTCTCTGCTGCCCGAATTCTGGTTGAAAGAGATATAACTTTACATGTAGTTGATGAAATATGGTTGGGCACACCTAATAATGGGTATTAGCAATCCATCATCATGGAACAAAAACCTTATTATTGCAGCCATTGCAGAATGTTTGGGTAAACACAGTATAAGTGTTACAGGCTACACCCATCTTTGAGACCTTCCAACGACAAACCTTCCAGTAATCAGAATCCTACCCAGGTTGGGGTGATTGTGCCTCCCAAATCTCCTTTGGATCCTAACACCCATCATGATAATGTGGTGTTGAATCCAAGATAGGGGATGGAGACATCCCCAATCCTATTGCTGTTGAGGAAAGACCAGTATCTACTAAACAACAAGATATATCCCAGTTGAAACCCCAATATCATGCCCTGGATCTCAATTTGGGGAGGTTTATGGATGATACTTTGCTTCACAAGATGAATGCAACCCTTGAGGAGGAATGACAAGTCCAAAAGTCTAGAAAAAAGAAGAAAGGGTTACTGGAATTAAAGAACATGCAGGAAGGATCTCAATCCTTGCTTGAGAGGGATTCTCATAGAGGAAGGTTGAAATCAATGGCTAAAACAAGGAGGATGAAATCCACCTCAATTGGATGATGAATTTTCTTTGTTGGAATGTTAGGGGGTTGGCTCATCCTAAGTCCATTAACAAAATCATTTCTCTTAATAGGATGTACAAGTTTTGGCTAGTAGCAATATTGAGTCAATGGTCTCCAAATATCCTCATAAAATTCTGAAAGAAGTTCCATGACTTTCAACACTTCTCTAATATCAAAAATAAAATTTGGATTCTTTGTAGAAAAGAGGTTCAATGTTATGTTCTGATGGATAATGCTCAATTTCTCCATTTACAACTTGATCTTGGAGGTCTCAGTGTCCTGACCACATTTAGATATGCTTGCTGCTCTTTCTCTGCCAGAAATGAACTTTAGAAAGG